ATATATATATATATATATATATATATGGTGGAGAGGCTAGAGAAGGTGGGCCTGTGATCAGAAGGTTGGCAGTACAACTCCCCGGATCGACAACATCAGAATGTGAATGGGAAAGCGTCAGATGACATGTTCTCCAGGCGAATTCAGATAAGGTGGCCTTCAAGGCCAGCCAGGGTAGCCAAATTCAGATAAACACACAGTTGTTTTGGGAACAGGCAGAACTTAATGACATCTACCTTGAGTCTGTGTTGGTCCAAACAGTTCCGAAATGTCCAAATTACATGGCCACACCAATGGAACGTGCCTGAGTAAAATCCCTGAGATCTGATCCAATCTGCCCAAAGCATTCGAGTCTCGAGGCACGAACCAAGCCATCATAAAGGCAAGCAGCATGATCGGGTCCAAATTTGCTGCCGACGACTTCCTTGATTGTAGATACAACCAGCAACCACCCGAATCCAAAATGCAGGAACCAGTTATCGTAAATCCAATTATAAATACATCCTTAAAATCCACAAATGGCAGCAGAGATAGACACATCGTCAAGTCTTCAAGTCGATGAGATATCCAGCTGCATGCGTGCCAACAGGGCAAATCGGCTCGCCTAAATCCTGTCTTCCCTTCGAAGAAATGTTTCAATTGTGCTGAGGGACCAACTGATCAAATCCATCCATCCATTATCTTCCGCTTGTTCCAAAGTCAGGTCGCGGGGGCAGCAGCTTGAGCAGGGAGGCCCAGACATCTCTTTCCACAGCCACCTCTTCCAGCTCTTCTGGGAGGATTCCAAGGCGTTCCCAGGCCAACCGAGAGACATAGTCTCTCCAGCGTGTCCTGTGTCTTTCCCGGGGTCTCCTCCCAGTCGGATATGCCCGAAGAACCTCCCTAGAAAGGCATCTAGGGGGCATCCTTACCAGGTGCCCGAACCACCTCAACTGGCTCCTCTCGATGTGGAGGAGCAGCAGTTCTACTCTGAGTCTCTCCCGGATAACCAAACTTCTCACTCTATCTCTAAGAAAGAGTCCAACTACCCTGCGCAGGAAACTCATTTCAGCCGCCTGTATCCGCAATCTCATTCTTTCGATCACTACCCAGAGCTCGTGACCATAGGTGAGGGTAGGAACGTAGACCAACTGGTAAACAGAGAGCTTTGCCTTACAGCTCAGCTCTCCCTTCACCACAATGGACCTGTACAGAGTCCGCAATACTGCAGACTGCTGTACCAGTCCGTCTGTTAATCTCACACTCCATTCTTCCCTCACTCGTGAACAAAACCCCGAGATACTTGAACTCCTCCACTTGAGGCAGAACCTCACCCTCGATCTGGAGAGAGCAAGCCACCCTTTTCCGATTGAGGACCATGGCCTCAGATTTGGAGGTGCTGATTCTCATCCCAGCCGCTTCACACTTAGCTGCGAACCGCTCCAGTGAAAGCTGAAGATCACGGCACGATGACGCCAACAGGATCACATCATCTGCAAAGAGCAGAGATGGAATCCTGAGGCCAACAAACCGAAAACTCTCCACTCACTGGCTGCACCGAGAAATTCTGTCCATAAAAGTTAAGAACAGAATCGGTGACAACGGGCAGCCCTGGCAGAGTCCAACTCCCACCCTGAAGGGGTCCGACTTACTGCTGGCAATGTGAACCAAGCTCTCACACCGCTTGTATAGGGACTGAACAGCCCATAGCATCGGGCCCCCAATCCCATACTCACGGAGCACCTCTTACAGTGTACCCCGAGAAACATGATCAAATGCCTTCTCCAAATCCACAAAACACATGTAGGCAGGATGGGCAAACTTCCATGACCCCTCGAGGACCCTTGTGAGGGTAAAGAGCTGATCCAGTGTTCCATGACCAGGACAGAAACCACATTGTTCCTCCTGGATCTGAGATTTGACCAACGATTGAACTTGCTTCTCTAGTACCCCTGAATAGACCTTACCAGGGAGGCTGAGGAGAGTGATGCTCCTATAATTGGAGCACACCCTCCGGTCCCCCTTTTTGAAGAGGGGAACCTCCACCCCAGTCTGCCAATCCAGTGGCACTGCCCCCAATGTCTACACAACATTGCAAAGGCATGTCAGCCAAGACAGCCCCACAGAGCCTTAAAGAAATCAGGGTGAATCTCATCCACTCCCGGAGCTCTGCCGCCTCAGAGCTTTTTAATTACCTTGATGACCTCAGTCACAGTTATGGATGGATCAACCCCAAAGAGCACTTCATGCTTCCTGCTGCTGACCAACTTTATGGGGATGTAGATTTTATTTTCCAACAGGACTTGGCACCTGCACACAGTGCAAAAGCTACCAGTACCTGGTTTAAGGACCATGGTATCCCTGTTCTTAATTGGCCAACAAACTCGTCTGACCTTAACCCCATAGAAAATCTATGGAGTTTTGTGAAGAGGAAGATGTGATACACCAGACCCAACAATTCAGAAGAGCTGAAGGCCACGATCAGAGCAACTTGGGCTCTCAACACCTGAGCAGTGCCACAGACTGATCGACTCCGTGCCACGCCACATTGCTGCAGTAATCCAGGCAAAAGGAGCCCCAAGTATTGAGTGATGTACATGTTTATACTTTTCATGTTCATACTTTTCAGTTGGCCAACATTTTTAAAAATATTTTTTTAATTTGTCTTAAGTAATGTTCTAATTTTCTGAGATAATGAATTTGGGGTTTTCATTAGTTGTCACTTATACTCATCAACATAAAAAAAACATTTGAAATATATCAGTCTGTGTATAAGGAATTAATATAATATACAAGTTTCACTTTTTGAATGGAATTACTGAAATAAATCAACTTTTTCATGATATTCTAATTTTATGATCAGCATGTATCTGTGTGTGTGTGATAAACTAAAATGTCTAAAAGATAATGGGTTGTTTTCTTGTAAAGTTAGGTTTGGGGGTGGGCCATGTTCACTACTCTGAAGAAAGAAAACTGTTTTTTAAGCATGTAAAAGTAAAGGTCTAGCATTCTTTGAAGGAATGCACATTGCCCCCCTTTCCTACCAATTTTACACTAAAATCATCTCATTTGGAGAAACAGCAGAGTTCTATCTGTTTAGGTCAAAGCTTGACACGACTTTATGATAATTCTCATGCAACACCACGAGATGTCACTATCAGTATATATGTTGTAAATGACATGCACTTTTAGTTGTTCCCCGTCACGAAACAGTGAGGGGGGATTGGAAATACCCTCTGTCCGTCTGTGTTGTGAGTTTAAAAACTTTAGAAATCAGTGAGGTACCAACTTCCTTTTTGTTGTGTGGTTTCAGCTAAGTGTAAGAAAGTTTCCTTTCACACCAAAAACATTAGGTTTACTTCATTCCCAGTTCAATTCCAGTCTAGAAAAACACTCATGTTAAAAACTACAAACATTCACTGTTCAAATCACTCGGCGATATCAGCAAACCTCGTGTTAATCAGGTGTAGATGTACATTCAGTGATCACTTCCAGAAAGTTTCATAACCCCATGTAGTGAACTAGGCCTCTGACCAAAACCTGTCTCTGAAGACCTTCATGGTACAGGAACTGTTATTTCATTGATTTGAATCCAGAAATACAAATTAGCTCATCCAGAGACTGTCTAATTGTATCCTGAATTAATCAATTGAAAGAACACTCTTCTTTTTATGTTATCATTACTATTTTACAATATCTTGATAATCAAAAGTGTGTTTAGTTCATATCATTTATAATGTTGAAAGTAAACCACTCATTTAAATCAACTGTGAAACAGTATTAATGATTTTTTAAACCTCATTAGACTTAGAAATCAAGTTAAATGTCTATTTACAAAGTAATTATGCATTTTGATCTTCTGTCTGAATGAGAAGTAGTGATGTCGGTCAAAAGTCAGAGACAGTCAGAAAACAAGTTATTAGAACGGGCTGTATTGTTTTTAAACCTAGCAGACGGTAAAAAGAGAAACACTGGCATCTGCGTTTGTCTCACTTCGCCATAACATTTCTCTGTCTGTACTAAACGTTCCTAAACATTCCTGAACCCTCTCTTGACTTTTAATAACCCTCTGACATCACTAGAACCACCCCCTGTTGGTTGTTTCAACCAATCAGGAAGTATTAAGTGACCGGAAGTGAAGACTCTTTAAAAGTCGACACTTCCTGGAACTATTCAGTTTTCTGAGTCTTCTCAGTCTTCTCGAGTCTTGGAGTAGTCGGACTCAGTCTTTGATGGAGTCTTCTCAAGCCTTCTGGAGTCTTCCACTTCTGAGTGGAAACTCTGACGAGTCACAGATACTTGCTGTGAACCCACCCGGGCGTAACGCCTACAGCCTCGAAGGGAGCTGGTCCTGTTTGTTGAACGGAGTAAATCGACACGCCTTCTGACAATGACCATTCGCTCTAACCGGAGACGCTCGAAAGGTAGCGTTGAAATGGACCCGGTACCGGAGCTGATTCATCTTTTGCGAAGGTAACGAGTCGTCACGCGCTAAGTGTACCGGAGGTTTGAGCTGGTGATTGAAAGAAGCGTGCTAATTCTGGTCAACAACATACACCTTCCTTCATCCATCTCCCTTTAAACTTCTCCATTCCTTCCTTTAAACTCTTCTATTTTGCCAGTAATCTAGATGCCTTCAGAAATGTCTTGTCTTATTAGTAAAGCGTGCCAAGTTTTTATTAATCAGAACCAGATCAGCTAATCATGTGTACATGTTTTGATGTTAAATTTTGATTCTGTTAAATAAATGACCGCATTTATTCTGATGGGTCAAACAAAATAACGTCTCATGTCACTGATTAAACAATGAACACAGTTATCTCGTCACATGGCATTAATTTAACTCGAAAAAGAAAGAACCCGTTATATTTAAATTTTTAGTAGTGAAGCGACAGTTAAGCTGTCCCCCACCTTGACTACTACACCCATCATGTGGTTTATTAGATATTTTGCTAACACACAAACAGGATTGACTGTAGTACTTAATGTCAACATTTTAAGATAAGATTTCTCAAAATGAGAAGCGCTCAAGTAAGTGTTAGAAACAACTCACAGCTACTACCACACCAAATTTAAGTAAAATATCTTTCAGTTTTACCATTATAGCCATCTTTGTGTTTTCTAAGGTACGTTAGTTGTTTCAGCCAAGTAAAAAATCAGTGATTGATTACTGGAAGTTTAATTAAAATCTGTCTAGTGTTTAGTTCATGGGATATTTTACTAACAGAAAAGCAGGTTTGACTATAAAAAGTGAATGACATTATTTGTTTTAATAGTATATATGTATATATATATAATATTTTTGTAGAATTATTGTCATGTTTTGTTATTTTGAGCTTGTTCTGGTATTTATCTTTTGTTCAAATAATAGTTTTTGTTTCGCTGTTTTCAGCCACGTCCGCCCTGCTGCTCACAGTTCAAGAATTTTTTCGATACAGCTTTTTTCCCCGCAGCAAGTTAGTTTTAACTTTGTTTCAGTTACATCAGTCCCAGTTGAGGTGGTTGCCACAGCTGAGGGACATTAGAAACTACAAAAATTAATAAATAAAGTGCTATGTGTTGTCATCATGTATGTTCCCATACAATGGTGAAATTAGTTTTCTGCATTTAACCCATCACACCTGAGATGCACCCCGGTGGAGCAGTGGGCAGCTATGTAAGTGCCCGGGGAGCTATTGGGGATTGGGTGTCTTGCTCCGAGACATCAAGACATGTGGGAGTGGCTGGGGATCAAACCTGGAACTTCCGGGTCCCAGGTCGGCTGCCCTGCCTCTACCCCAGCTCTGCTGAGTCTAATGCTCAAGATCTCTTGCTTCAGCTACTACCACACCGTGTTTTATGTCAATACCTAAAAGATTGGCTGAGTTAGATATCATTGGATGTGGCAACAATCTTGAACTTAACTTATTCTAAAAGCTGTAGATGTTCATCCAGTGATTACTTTCTTACCCAATCAGAAGGTCCTAATTTTGCGCCATTATTAATTCTGTTCTGTAAATTTCTGCAAACTGAAACTGGAGACCGAACACATCCAGGAGCAGTGAACCCATGTTTATAGTCTAGAGTAATAAACACCAGTTTCTTCTCTTTAGGGTCGTTGTGGCGTTATGTCCGTGCCAGTATGTCGCTGTCCGGCTACCTTCCTCCTCTCTGCGATCCCAAAGATGGACACTTACTCATGGATGGAGGGTATATCAACAACCTTCCCGGTGAGAAATATGTTGAGCTTGAACAGGATATATTTAATCAGTTTTCACTGTGAATAATACATTTTATCTTTACAGTTATAAATCTATAATAAAACAACTGGCAGTACTTTTAGACTAAGATCATCCTATGATGAGATATGACAGATGTTTAGTGTTTTTAGTTAAAACTTTAAAATAACGTGCCAGATATCCAATAAAATGTGTTTGGTCTCAGAACTTATGTTGAGGATGACTATCAGCTACTACCACATCATATTGTGGATCAGTATCTGTAAAATTGGATGAGTTAGACATCTTTCTGTTTGATAAGGTAGCTTAACTGCGGCAGCCATCTTGAATCAGGTTGTAGACGTACATCCAACGTTAACTTTTGGAGCGTTTCAGTGTTTGCTGATTCCTTTAAAACTGACTGAGTTATAGTCTTTTTGAGAGTTCATTAGTTATGTTTGCTAACAGACACATTACTGCCCTGAAGGGGCCACATTAACATATCCACCTTTCACCTTTGGTGGATGGTGATGAACATGATGGTGTGGAAACTTCATCATAAGAAGCTGATTTGTGTGATGAGTGTTCAGTGTGGGTTTTGTTTGTTCTGATGTCCAGCTGACGTGGCTCGCTCCATGGGAGCCAAGGTTGTTATTGCCATTGATGTCGGGAGCAGGAATGAAACCAGTCTGACCAACTACGGGGACTGTCTGAGCGGCTGGTGGCTGCTGTGGAAACGACTAAACCCACTGGCTGAGAAGGTCAAGGTAAACTGACTACCTAGAAAATTAAATTAGCTTCAGGAGTTTGGGACATTGTTTTAATGTAAAGTAGGAAACATACCAGCAGATTAACTGGTAAGAGACATTTCAGCAGCTTTATGTGTTTGTGTCCTGTCAGGTTTTAAACATGGCAGAGATCCAAACCCGGCTCGCTTACGTGTGCTGTGTGAGGCAGCTGGAGCTGGTCAAAGACAGTAATTACTGCGAGTACATCCGGCCGCCCATCGACCGCTACGGCACACTGGACTTTGGCAAGTTCGATGAGATTGCTGTGAGTTTTCTTTCCTCTCCCTACAGTTTGTTTCTTTCTTTCTCTCTATCCTCCGATGAAACCAGACGTGTCTCCCTGGTCTCCCCCCCCCCCACCCGCTTCCTTGCTTGCACTCTTTCGCCCTGAGAACCCTTAAAAAGCCTCTTTTTTGTTTTTATCTGCATACCTCTTAATTCGAAGGATCAGCTGGTCTCTCAACAAAATTGATCAACTTCTCCCGACAGGAGTCAGGGTAAGGAGGACCCTCTTACCTCGACGGAAACAAATTGGATTCATGGTGACAACTGGTTTTTTGTTGTTTGGTTGATGAATTCTGGATTGTCTATAAATTTGTGTGTATGAGTCGAAGCTCGACGGCGCTCAGACTGAATTTGTGGAGCTGCAGCAGCTGTTTTCAGGACTGCAGACACTATAGCAGCACACATGAAAGGGAAATAATCTTGGAGAAGCTGTGAGCTCGACTTTTGGCATAAAGGATCAATTTGGCTGTTTGGAGCTCCATCAGAGGAATATATACCAGCGAGACTTTAAAAGGCAAAAACAATAATTCACAAGTTCTGCCTGACCCAAACTGTGGCCTTGACTCCAGACTTATCTCAACTCCTCCTGGAATATTTTGAAAACGACAAAGATGTTTTGTCTCCTCACCCATCTCTTCCCCAAGGCAGTGGACATGTAACAGAACCTCAACTGAGCTGAAGATGAACGTCACCTCTTATCTGGACAATGGCTGAGAGGGCGGGCTCTGGACTATGCTACGACTTTCCCTTAAAAATCCAATGTCTTCACCGGCCTATATGTACATGTGTAACATCTATATGTACATGTGTAACATCTATATGTACATGTATACCATCTATGTACATGTGTAACATCTATATGTACATGTGTAACATCTATACGTACATGTGTAACATCTATACGTACA